GTGTGTGTGTGTGTGGTGTGTGGTGTGTGTGGTGTGGTGTGTGTGTGTGTGTGTGTGTGTGTGTGGTGTGTGGTGTGTGTGTGTCAGACAGAGATCCATTTTATAAGTCCTGTTACTCTAGAGAATCCTGACTAGTACACGGCCTCTGTAATTGGGAGGGATATTGCAAACCTTACAACTTTCAGGAACTTCTTGACTTTTGTGAGCCTCTGTCTTCTCTGTAGGACAGTGGTTCTCAACCTTCCTAACACTGTGATCCTTTAATACAGTTCTTCCTGTTGTGGCCCCCAACCATAAAATTATTTCATTGCTACTTCAGAATGTAATTTTGCTACTGTTATGAATTGTAATGTGTATCATATATATAATCGATATATATGGTATGCAGGGTGTCTGATATTTGACCCCCAAGGGAACTGTGACCCACAGGTTAAGAACCACTGCTCTAAGAGGAGGAAACAGCTTCCCACAATGGGAACACTAAGAACTTAGTTGTAAGAGGGTCCTAGAAGAACATGATCAAAGAACAGATGGTTAGGAGCTCTGAGCAGTGATATTTTCTGCCTGTGTGTCTGCTCAAGTGTAGTGAGGAAGAGGAACAAGGCTGCAGCTCCAGGCTCTGGCTTTTGTTGCTTAGGGCATTGATCAGCTTGAACATCTGCTGTCCACCCTTTCCTTGTGTCCATCATCATTGGAGGCCCCAGGCCAAAAGAAAAAGAACATGATTCCTATCTCAGCTTTATGCCTTCCCCCGCAGACATGCATTCATCTGTCCCTTGGTATCAGAGGTGAGAAAACAAGGCTAGGAACATGGCTCAGTGAGTAAATGAGTTTGCAGTGCATGCATGGGCACCTGAGAGGGTAGCTAGCATCCACATAACAGGCTGGGTATAGTCATACACACCTGTAACCCCAGTGAAGACAGGTGGGGCTTCCTGGCAGCCAACCCAGCTGAAAAAGGGTGCGCTCCAGGTTCAGTGAGAGGTTCAAGGGAGTGGAGTAGAGAGGGGAAATGAAGATGTTCAAAAATCCTCCTCCAGCCTCCACACAGACACGTGTGCACACACACAAGCATGCACGTACATACACACGAGTGCACACACATACATACATGCACGCATGAATGAACGAGTCTCCCAAAGGTGAAATTCTTGTTTTATTTCAACTGACTATAGCAGATAATAACCAAACTATACTTTTTTCAAAATCAGCAGCTAAACCAAGCCCATCGCCAATGATGTAATCACTGAGGAAAAGAGATGCCTCCACGCATTTCGTCTCTACACAGCATCTGCTTCTAGTGCAAAGGGTCACCCTCTAGGCATTGTTGGTGTGAGGTGTTCTCATTCATTTCCTGCCTTCTATGTCTATGCAGCTTTTTACACTTCAGCTGGGCTTCTAGTTAACCTCAAAGGCAGGAACATCTAAATTCTTCTGGATATTTGGATGTTGTGGTTTAAGTCATATCATAAAAATAGTTCAATTTATTCTAATGCTTCTAAGGTGATTTTTTTATAATTTTTAAGATTTATTTTTAATTGTGTATATGTGATGTTATGTGCACATGAGTGTGGGTACTCTTATAGGCCAGAAGAGGGCACTCAATCCCCTGGAGCTAGTGTTATAGACAGTTGTGAGCCTGTTATGGGGGCTGGGAACCAAACTGGTCCTCTGCAAGAGCAGTATGTGTTCACTGCTGAGTCACCTTTGATACCCCTAAAATATGTCTGAGAAGAAAGGCCCTGCTGGGCGTTGGTGGTGCACGCCTTTAATCCCAGCACTTGGGAGGCAGAGGCAGTTGGATCTCTGTGAGTTTGAGACCAGCCTGGTCTACAAGAGCTAGTTCCAGGACAGCCTCCAAAGCCACAGAGAAACCCTGTCTTGAAAAACAAAACAAAAAGAAGAAGAAGAAGAAAGAAGAAGAAGAAGAAGAAGAAGAAGAAGAAGAAGAAGAAGAAGAAGAAGAAGAAGAAGAAGAAGAAGAAGAAAGAAAGAAAAAGAAGAAGAAGAAGAGAGAGAGAGAGAGAGAGAAAGAAAGGCCCTGATGGAGCAGGCTCCAAACTCCTGCTTGTCCTTCAGTGACCCTAGGAATGTTTAGGCAGACTGAGGTAGAGAGAAGTACAGAGGAGACTTGAATTCTCATAGCTTGAACTTAAGTTTGAGTTAAAACTGTTATACTAATTTCTGGAGAGTAGTCTTAGGTAAAAGAGGAAACAGAAAAACAAAGAGTTCCATCAAAGAAACGAAGGCTTGAAGAAAATAGCCAAGCTGGAGCCAGGGTGGCACGATGGAGCCTATCTATAAGAGCATTAGAGTCCTGAGGACTACTTCCCCACTAGGGTCAGGCTTTAGAGGATGGCACTCGTAGTAGAGTTAACTTGTCCTCTGACCTGGACAGAGAACAGAGCTGGTTATCAGACATGGCCGTAGGCCAGCTGCTGGAAAGGGAAATCAGTATTCAAGCTGATGATTATGGCAGCTACAGTTTGTATGACAACACAAAGGTCACTTTTAATGCATCTAGGTCTTCTCCAGGCAGGCAAGTGGGGACCCAGCCTGGCCCGGACCAGGTCACATCTTCAGTCTTCTTTAAGCAACAGAGAACTTGAACCAGGTGGTGTGGTTGTACTCCTCCCCAGGCCCCAGCAGCACAGGAGGGAACTGGGGCTGCGAAAAGAAATCAGCATTAGACCTTGCCAGCCATCCTGCACCCCTATGCTAGGCTCTGAAGCCATCTTTGTGGACTGTTACCCGTGAGGACAGTGTGTTACTGATTTGCAGTGAAATGAACGAAAACCTACCGTAACACCAAACCACTTTGTCAAAGCAAGACTTGGCTACAGGAAGCAATGCCCTGATTTGTATTCTGGAGTAACATACAAGCTTCTTCCCAAGGCTGACAGTTTGCACAGGAATGCTACAAGCAGCAAGTAGAGAGGAATGGAGAGAACAAACAGGAAGAAAAGTTTTGGAAGGTCTAGTAGAGTGGTGTGGGCCGGCAAGGTGGTGCAGTGGGGAAGGTGCTTGAGGCCAAGGCTGACAACCTGAGTTTTCTCACCGGAGCCCACATGGAGGAAGAGAACTAACCTCTGAAATGTGTCCTCTGACCCCCATGGCACGTCCCTGCTCATATACCCCTCCCCCACAAACCGCAGCAAATGAAAGGGAAGCAAGGAGAAAGACTGAGGGAAGACACTGATGGCACAAAATCTGCGCTTTAACAACAGTTACTAAGCTGTGGGTTTTCTGTGGTTGTATAATTTGAAAAGCACAAACATAGACTTATTATACGCATAATTTGAGTGTTAGGACCTGCCACACTGTGTGACACTGAATCAATGTCCCTCTGACAAGCTAGCTTGTGGCTTTACCTGATTGACCGCATCAGGCCAGTTTTGAGTCTCGAGGCAGAAACCAGAGTGCTTGGGGTAGACTTCTCCACTCTTGCCCCTCAGAGTGCCATCCAGGAAGTTGCCTGTGTAAAACTGGACGCCAGGTTGGGTGGTGTATACTTCCAGGACCCTCCCACTTCCAGCATGGCGCACCCTGGGGATAAAGACAAGTCATATCTGAGTGGGGAAGGAAGAGGCCAAGGAACAGCTTTGGGGCGGAACCAGACCTGGCTACACAATGAGGGCAAGAAGGGTCCAGGAGGTAAGAGCAGGATGGAGACTCTGGAAGCTGCACAGGGGAAGCATGAGCTGTTGGCTTTGAGGACTCTCAGAAACAACTTCTTGTGCTGAGAGATGGCTCAGCGGCTAAGAGCACTGACTGTTCTTCCAGAGGACCTGAGTTCAATTCCCAGCAACCACATGGTGGCTCACAAGCACCTTGAATGAGATCTGGTGCCCTCTGCTGGCAGGCAGGCAGAAGATTGTATACATAATAAATAAATCTTAAAAAAAGAAAGAAAGAAAGGAAGGAAGAGAGAGAGAGAGAAACAACTTCTCATTGATCTTGGCCTGGTACCATGTCTGGGGCATGGTAACACAGACTCTCAGTCATGAGAGTCAGGGAGGAGCAGTTAGGCTGGAGAGAAACAGGACCCAGGGCCTTGTACTTGCTCATGAGCACTTGGTCACTGCTACTCAGATATATTCCCCAGGCTGTACTGGGACTCACGGATCTACCTGCCTCTCCTTCTGGAGTATTAGGATTAAAGGCATGTGCCCCCATGTCTAGCCATGGAGCTCTAAAAACAGTTAGTTTTGGTTTTTCAAGCAGGGTCCCTCTGGGTAGCCCTGGTTGGCCTGAAACTCACTCTGTAGGCCAGGCTAACCTTGAACTCACAGAGATCCACCTGCCTCTGCCCCCCAAGTGCTGGAATTAAAGGCGTGCGCCATCAATGCCACCCAGTCTGGGTCTGTACTTCTTGCCAAGGGCATATAAATAAAGGCTGGTGTCAGAGTCTTACCAGGGGCAAATTACACAAGACTCCCAAACACAAAATGACTCTAGGAACTGGATTTGTGTAAGAAGAGTGTGTGCACTCACTTGTCTATCAAACTGGAGGTGGGAGGGGTTAGAGCTGCAAGAGAAGTGCAGACAGTCTCCAGACAGTCAGTGAAGGCAGGAGCAACCAGAACAGGAGAATTGGGGCCTCTGACAGAAAAGGAGCTTACAGGACAGGCAGAGGTGGAAAGTCAGAGAGGGTGCTGGGTAGGGGGTCAGGGAGGATGTGCGGTTGGGAAGAATGGGTTCTACAGGATTTACTCATAAGCTGTGGGGTGTGGCATTTGACTCTGGCTCCTATCAGGTGCTGTTGAAGCTGAGATAGGGAAAGCTCCTATAAGAACTGCTGTTTCTTCTCCTCTACAGAGCCAATAAGGACAAGTTTCCAACCTTGCACAAAAATGCTTTTCTTTCGATCCCTTCAGACAGAAATTGTGGTCGAAACCATGGATGTGATGATCCTGCAGGTGTTTTCCAAGCTCCACTGGGTTTCTCAGGTCAAACGCAGTTCCTTCTACTGGAGCAATGACTCCTGGGAAGAGAGTGAACAATAGAGGTGGTTATTGCCAAGACCAAAGCTTTACATACACTGTCCTGAAGGCCTGCTGGTCCTAGTCTCTCAGCCTTATTTCAATGTGTAGAAGAGACTGATATGTGGGTTCCCTTGATCAGAATATGCAACTGATTACCAAATGCAGTCTCTGAAACAATATAAAAGTGGCAAAGGGGTGGATGCAACTCTGTTGGCAGAGTGCTTTGAGAACATACAAGAAACCCTGCATTCAGTCCCCAGAACCACAAAAGACTAGAAGCCATGGTCCACATCTGTGATCCCCGCACACAGAGAGAGAGGCAGGAGGAGCAGAAGTTCACATGTGCCAGCTGTGGTGGTGCACACCATCAACCCCAGCACTCCAGACAAAGGCAGAGTTCAAGGCCAGCCTGGTCTACATAGTGAGTTCCAAGACAGCCAGGGCTATGTAGAAAAACCCTGTCTCACCTCCCGCCCCCCAAAAGATGAGATCTTGTCTCAAAAACAAACAAAACTCCCATATAAAAATTTTAGTTGGGGAGATGGTTCAGTGGGTAAAACTTTTGTCCTGCGAGTATGGGGACCTGAGTCCAGATGTTCAGAACCTGTGTAAAAGCTGGACTCAATAGCACTCATTTGTAACCCAAGCATTCCTATGGCATGATGGGACGCAGAGACAGGAGAATTCTGGGAAGCTTGTGGGCCAGGTGTCCTAGTGTGTGCAGCTGGGACAAGAGAGAGGAGTGTGTGCAGAGGGGACAAGAGAGACCAAAACTCAAAAGATGAAAAGTGAGGGGCAGAACATGGTCCAAAAATGGAGTTGTATGAAGAATGCATCTAAGAAAAAAATTCTGAGTGCTTGTGAGAAAACTCCAAGAAAAGAAGGTTAAGAGTCTTATGACCTTAGTTTCTTCAAAAACACTAAATTGTTCTTGAGATGCGTTTTTGTGCCCCTCCCAAGTGTAGCAGACAGGAGGGAGTTTACTTCAGAGTTTTCACTGCACCTGGCTATTGTTATATGTGTATATGCCTCTATGGAAAAACATGTTTTGGCCTGACTGCCACTTGCTGCTTACCCATGTGACTCCTCTTTAGAGTATAATTTGTCCGATGCTCTGAATAAAGTTGGCTATTGTATGAGACTTTAGTCCACCTCATTTATTGGCTCCATTCCCCCAGGTCCCACTGACTCCAGAGGAGGAAACAGGTGAGGGCTGAAATATGAACTTGTTCTTTGAATTCCACACATTCACATACCATGGCAGGAATCCATCTGCACTTACACACAGAAAAATGCACACACACACACACACACACACACACACACACACACACACATATAAATGAAGATAGCTTAAAAAAAAAAGTTTGTGTACAAGTGTGTCTGTGTATGTGCACATGAATGCAGGTGTCTGTGAAGTCCAGAAGAGGGTGTTAGGTCTCCTGGAGCTGGAGTTACAGTTGCTTGTGAGCCACCTGACATGGGTGCTGGGAGTCAAACTGGGTTCTTCTGTTGAGTCATCCTCCAGCCCCTGAATTTTCTTTAAGCAAAAAAAAAAAAAAAAAAAAAAAAAAAAAAAAGAATCAAGGAAAGACATATTCTTCATTAAGAATTGTGATGGTTAGTCATTGTTGTCAACACCGTAGGATATAGAGCCCGCTAGGAGACACACCAGGAATGCCTGTTAAGCTGTTTCCAGAGAGTTCAAAGAGGAAAGACCCCGAATATGGTTGCCCATCTCACTGGTTGGAGTCTCAGACTGAATAAAAAGGAAAAAGGAGGCAGGTAAGCAAGCACTGTAAGCATTCTGACTTGAGGAACAAACAAGCACTGTACCCATTCTGACTTGAACACACTGCCACAGTCCGGAGCAGTTACTAGCCATATTTCCCAACAGCAATTAACTGTGCCCTCTTAAATCATGAGTCCAAATAAAGCCTTCTCCCATAGGCTGCTTTTAAACAGGTATTTGTTACAGTGATGAGAAAAATCATGACTACAAGGGTTAAGCTGGATAAAGGGTAATGGTTGTTTTATCCCTGGGCTCATAATGAAGCTTTAGCCACGTGTGACCAGACTCTAGTAAATCTGAGATTAGTGATTCTTTTCTTCCCCAGAGACAGGGTTTCACTGTTCAGCCCTGACTGTCCTGGAGCTCACTCTGTAGACCAGGCTGGGCTCGAACTCAGAGAAATCCTCCTGCTTCTGCCTCCCTAGTGCTGGGAATTAAAGATGTGTGCCACCAACTCTTGGCTGAGATTCTTAAACCACTGTGGGCCAGTATTATCTAAAGGGACACCGGCAAGCACCCTGTTCCAGGCACATCCCTATCAGACTGCAGACACTCCAATTTGTGCTGAGAACAGTTAGTGCTGCTGGAACAAATGAGTTGACTGGGCCAATCAAGAGAAAGCTGGGAAGCATGGCCATTCTATGGCCTGCCACTTCACTCAGTGCTTTGAGGTATGCAGTTTCTGGAAGAGTTATTGTTTGGTGAGCACTGCTTCCTTGTATGCAAGCCAGATTCCTCAGGCTCATCACAATGACACAGATGAGTGGCCAGTCCCAACAGGACACTACTGTGTGTGGACCAAAGAGCAAAGCATAGAGGAGATGTGGCAGTCATCATTCAACTAATGCCAAGTCCAGAGCATCTCTGCTCAGCATTATAGAGGTCAAGAGACCATTACAATAATGAAGGCAGCGCAGGTGGTGTAGACCTTTAGTCCCAACACTCAGAAGCAGGAGGATTTCTGTGAGTTCAAGGGCAGCCAGGGCTCTATGATCTCATCTCAAAAACAAAACAAATAAAAACAAAGCCATTGAAATAATTACATAATTGCAAAGAGAACCAGTTTGGCTTAGTTCTGCATTTGTGGGTTCCTACACGCTGAGAAAACAGAACCTTTGGATAAGAGAACACAGAACACCTTCTTTTAAATTCTAGAACTGTTGTTCCTGATGCAGGAGCCCTGGGTTCCTTAAATTCACACAGGGCTTTGGAGGTATGGAATACAAACACCTGTGTAAGACACTGTCACCTAGACAAGATCATCCTGGTATCTGGGTTCTTCACCTGGGAATCTGGGAAGCACAAAAAAGGCTACCATGTCAGCCTTAGGAGACACAAGGAAGGCAGTGGCTTGGAAAATGCAAAAATACCTACATCTTTTGTCCTGAATCTTCTTTTTCTAAAAAGAATACTGATAAGGTGATTGCCCATGTGATGAACTTCGATAGTGATGGATTTAGATGGTACAAAATGCCATATGATTAAAGAATTTCATGACTCCTCACAGCCATTTCCTTCTACAGCATCACTGTTGCTTACTCCTCACAAAGCTACTCATGAGGTGGTGTGTGCACACAGCACCCTCAAATCTGGTAGTCTTCTGTACCATCTTTTCACTCAATGTGACTTAGTGGTTGTTTCTAAATTTATCCCTAGGCATTTTAATAGATGACTCTCTCTTCCATCATCTTTTTTTATCTATGGTAATTTGTCTATTTAAGATTTCTTGGGCTGGGGAGATGGCCCAGTGGGTAAGGAAACTTGCTGAGCAAGTGTGGGGACCTGAGTTCAAATCCTCAGCAGCTGCATAAAAAGCCAGGTGTGGCTGTGCACAGAAGAGCCTACGGCACTGTGGGGGTGGAACCAGGAGGGACGCTAAGGCCTGCTGGCCATCACCCTAGCTCCAGACTCACTACAGACCATTCCAAGGGAATGAAGCAGAGCTTGACATCCTGACATCCTCCCCTGGTTTCTGAATGTGCACACGACTGCACTTAACACAGACACACACAGAGGTCAAAGAGATTGCTATAATCTCTTTGATCTGATCTTTCCGTGATAATTTCTCAGTATGTTTCTTTTTTTTTTTTTTTTTTTTTTTTTTTTTTTTTTTTTTTTTCGAGAGAGGGTTTCTCTGTGGCTTTGGAGGCTGTCCTGGAACTAGCTCTTGTAGACCAGGCTGGTCTCGAACTCACAGAGATCCACCTACCTCTGCCTCCCGAGGGCTGGGATTAAAGGCGTGAGCCACCACCAACGCCAGGCTCAGTATGTTTCTTGTTTTGTGGATTGAACAAGACTAAACAGAGTTGTTAATGCTTTACCTCTCTCCCTCCCCCATTTCAGTGCTCAAAATTGAAGCCAGAACCTCAGAAATACCAGGCAAGCATCCTGACACTGAACTACATTCCTAGCCTTGGGTTACCTGTTATTTTTCCTCCCTCCAATGCAGCTCCCCTTTATAAAACCATAAAGTCTGCTGCCATTGTTGTCATTGCTGTTTAGAGATAGTCTTTCTGTGTAGCTGCAGAGGGCCTGGAACTGACTGTGTAGCCAATGCTGGTCTCAAATTCACCATCTTCCCACCTCAGCTTCATGAGTGTTATGATTACAGATGTGTGCACCATGATTGGCTTATTTTGTTTTCTTATTCTTAATTTTTTTCTCCTCTCTCTCTCTGTCTCTGTCTCTGTCTCTGTCTCTGTCACTCTCTCTCTGTGTGTCTGTGTTGGGGGGTATGTGCCCAAGGAGACCAGAAGAAGGCAGAGTCCCCGGAACCAGAGCTATAAGTGGTTACAAACCACCTGACCAAGAGTGCTGGGAAGCAAGCTCACTCCCTCTGCGTAAGCCATCTCTACAGCCTTTGCTATCATTCCTGTTCAAGCTCCTTGTACCGGACACCTAATTCACTTCTCTTTTACACTTTCTGGGTTAATATAAGTAGGGCAGATTTTTCTTCTGAGTAGTACTTCAGCTATCTCAGATATGAAGACTTTTCATTATAAAAAACAAAAACAAACAAACAAAAAAACGGGCTAGAGAGACGGCTCAGAGGTTAAGAGCACCGACTACTCTTCCAGAGGTCCTGAGTTCAATTCCCTGCAACCACATAGTGGCTCACAACCATCCCTTATGAGATCTGGTGCCCTCATCTGATGTGCAGATATATAAGGAAGCAGAATGTATAATACATAATAAATAAATAAAATC